ATGTGGTTACAAAGCCTTACAACTCATGGTAAGGTACCCATTCATTTACATTAATTGTCACATAGAAGCTCCTAACAAAAACAGATCATGAAGTATATTTCCTTAAAAAATTGCATTGCCACCTAAACTACTTCACCATAGCCAACCATACAATGTGAGTGCTCTCAAGTTATGAAGTCACTGCTCTTTCGAGTCTTAGTCTCAACTTACAATATATTTTAACATAACTTATGGCCAGTACGTTATGTAAATGAAGCAACGGAGATATTACTCATCACACAGAAATTAAAATTATTCTATCATAAAACAATTTTTCCCACTTGTGCCACTACTTCATAACAAGAGGAAAGAGTAAACAAAACTACTCACTAAGCATAGAAAAAAACAAAACAAAAATTTTCATTTAAATCAAAGCAAATCCACTAGATATGTGTTTACAACAATTATAAGATAATGAACAATACAATACTCAGCGTTTTCCCTCTAAAAGAAGATGAAAATCCCTCTAACAGAGTCTCATGCTGATCCATGCAATGATAATACAATCCCTTATAGATATCTCTCAAAATCTCCACTTCAATCTCTCCATATAAAATAAGAATCTACATTTCCTACTCCTATCTACGCGAGATTCCAGAACTTTGAAATGTGAAAAGGTTTCTTTCCGAGCGCAAAATTCCACCTAACAACTCCTTGTGCCGTCCAGAAACATTGACAACCGTTTCTGCTGCCCAGACACCCCGAGAGTGAGGTTTTCGAGAGATATCCTTATACACACATACCACTCAATTTCTATGTATTTATGTTTCCAACACACATACTTCAAATTCTACATGCTTACCACCTTGCCATGCATGAAAATGCGTCTTTCACTTTCAGAAGTTTAAATGGTGGTACTTCTGATGTGATATGAGAAGTTTGGGTGGTATAAATGTAAAAAAAAAAGAGTAAATTCTAGGCATCAGATATGTAAATACATAGTGATTCGGAAAAAAATGTACATAAATGCCCCTCAACAATTTAAATATATCAAATATAAGGAAAAAAATATTAAAAACATTAAAAAAACATGCACTTCGACTAAGTTGTAGGTCTGTTTATAAAACTATTGGAATGTTCGTCTTTTTATAATAATATGTATCTCAATTATCAAGAGATTAACAACTAAACTAACATTTGAACGTGTCATGTTATTACTCTAATAATACTCTGCAATTTCGATGTGGTCAGCAAATCCAAATGGCAAACCATTTTTGTCTGGGTGGAAGGACAGTGAAACTAAAACTGTAACATTGGCTTTTGTGGTTGGATCAAGAATATGCAGCCATTAAATCCTTGTTTTCACTTTATTTAACTGTTTTTGTATTCTCTTTTTTTCACTAAAGACTTCCCACATCCAAATGGCAATATTGTGACATGTGAGGTTTTACGAGTTTAAAGAGTAGACCAAGGGATCGTTCGGGGCAGTTTATTTGGTGCGGCAGCGCTGTAGCTTATTCTAATAATTCATGTTAAAGGCAGCTGCGAGTTTCTTCGATTATTTATTGCTCCAGTGCCCCTGTCGAACACGTGGCTCCCTATCTCGTATCTCATCTGCAATACGTTTATATCGAGTTAAAATAGGATGAGAGAAAGATGGCTCAAATTATTTTGACTTAAAACAGCTCATGCGATCTCCCATTAAAGTTTTACAAGGAGAAATACATACATGCATACCACTCGGTTCATATGTATTTACATATCTAACAGCTAAATTTTAATTTTTACACGTGTCACCTTAACCATGCATGGAAACGTGTATTTGATTTTGTAAGAGTTAAAAAAAGTGCTATTTTTTATATGATACGAAAGATTTAGGCGGTTATTGATTTTCCATCGTATTTATTGGCCTGCCGAGAAAGTTATGGATTGACTTTTACATGCGATTTTCTATCTTTATTTAATTTTTATAAATGTTAATTTCGTAGCTAAAGACATACAAAAATACAACAATTTTTTGTAATTTATTAAAACACCAATCTTCGGGTCAAACTAATCTTGACCATAGTTTTATATCCAAAACTCCCCCCCAAATCATCAAATTTATCCAAATTGACTAAATTTATAAGAAAAATTTACACACATACCGCAATTTTTTCTTACTTACATATCGATCGTCTAAAGTTTCATATTTACATTTATAACTCTTACGAGTCATAAAATTATGCATGAAAAGGAGCATTTAATATTAAAAAAAAATTTACTAATAGTGATATTAAAGATACGAAAGTTTAGGTCCTCAATGTGTAAATACAAAAGATTTGTGTGGGATATATATAAATGCCCCAACTAAAAATTACACTCAATCTCCGTCAAATTTCAAAAAGACATGAAGCGAGTCCACCCCCTACATATTTCTAACTTGAGCCCATTTGAGGCAACTTACAAGATTTGTACATTTTTGAAAACGCTGTCTGCCGCGTTTGAGTTTTTTACACTAAACGCAGACCGTGTTTCAGAATAAACTGCTTATTCTTATCCTGAATCGCACAAGCTGCCACAAACCCCACCCTTAGTGAAATCAATTTTGGAATTGAAAAAATGATTTTAAAATTAGAAAGAAAAAAAAATCTCCATCCAACCTTCCTTAACACGGCTAATTAAATCATATCATTGAATAATTGAAGAAACCTTGCTTTAGGGGGCAATCGGCAGTCAATGCCTCCCCCTCCCCACATCTTTTCTCTTTAAAGAGCCAAGAACGGTCGTTTTCTAGTGGTGGGGCCTCCATGAAGAAGAATGGAGGCAATTGTTAATCATGTTAATTAGCTTTAATTGCGAAGCTAATTTAGGTATTATTATTGTTATTATTATTATAATGTTGATATCTTCTTTTTGTTGTACAAGCAATAGATTTGCATATCTTGACCGGGGGAAAACGTACATAATTTGTCCTGCTCGATTTCATCGATCGCACGTGCGAAGAGGCGGCATCGATGGAGACCTAACCCAGAACGTAATAATTACCTAAACATATATTATTGGTGGGAGTAAGCTCACGGCTCCGCTTTATCCGCTTCTATTTTCTTCTGTTTGAAAGTTATGTCTTCACTTTCAATCATTTCGTCTCATGTTTTCTTTCATTAAATAAATGTCAATGCTATATATATATATATATAAATAACAAAAGGAAATTGGTATTTGCGAGAAAATCAAATAATCGATTTTTCATGCGCTATGTCCTCTAATGAGAGCCTGCGTCATGTGCCTAAATATTCGAGATACCAGTACCACTGGAGATCGACCTGAGTGGACTTACAGTGAATCCTGCCAACCAACAGACCACGACTTAAGACACAATACACGCACAAGCACTCATGAACGTTAGTAAAGAGTATTTCTCTATCGTCATTGCAATTAATTTAAGGGTTAATTTAGTGTTCTTATGAACTCTGAGATTAAAAATGATCATTTGAAAATAGTATAGATATTATTTTCACGAATATATTGTACATCAAAAGTAAAGAATATGATAGCCTAACTATTACATGAGCTTCACGGGATTAATGGATCTAGTCTGTTAAATATGCACCTAATGTTCTGATTCTGGTGGAATCCATTGTACTCATTAGACGCACCCTTGGAGGTGACAAGCTACATAACATTTTATCGTTCTGAAGGACTTATCGAGTACTTCTGAGGCTCATCAACATTCACGCGAGTTCCTCTTAAAGGGATCATTAATCTCGAGCCTTCAAGCGGGCTCCTCCAATTGAGCTCGTTCATACTTCTCGAGTTCTTTTACCAAGTTTGGTAATACTGGTAAAGCCATTCTACCAAGCTCTCCAATACCTATTTGATTGCATCACTGAGCTCGAGGAACATACACTTAAAATAGAAAATGAGAGAACTTCGCTCCATCATCATAAATATCTCTTTATTGATCGCCCGACATCTTCTATTTATTCTTTAGAGATCCGTGTTGACATATGTCGTCATCAAGTGTTCTTATATAAGCCGGTTAACATTTGGTGAAGCTTTCATGCTTATTAGGCCCTTGCATATTGCGATTAACAAATGTCTGATCAAAACTTCATTGAAGAGAAAAACAAATAATTAATGCAATGGATTAAATTATATGGTGTTTAGGCCAGGGGAAGCAAGTGTATTTTATTCATAATTAAGAGATTTAACTCAAATTAGCCCCCGAACAATTTGACGAGGTTGGAGTTGAAAAGCCTTATATTTACAATAATAGGCGAGACGTGTCGGTTTTGAGGCATATGATTGACAAATGTAAATCTTTTATTAAATTGTTATTATTTTTCTGCTTGCTGGCTTGAACAATCATTCTCGTTTAGGCTTCCCTGACATGTCTTCCATTCAAGGAGAAAAATTTGTGGAGGTTACTCAGACGGTATTTGGGGGTTATATCAGCGTTATATCTCATGTAACCTCCCTGTAACCTACTTGTAACGTATAAATATATGAAAATAGAAACGCATAACTTACTATAAGGTACATGTAAGTTACAGAGAGGTTATAAGGAGTATAACACGAATATAACCCCCAATACTCTCTGAATAACCTCTCTCACGTCAAAAGTTATTGCGTACGGAGAGCGTACGAAGAGCTACGTGCGCTCCAATCACAGCTGCACATTAACCATCCTTGTATGCCAGTGGGTCCCACTTTTACTATTTTTTTTTTTTTTAAATTAAAGCGATGGTTGATGTGCGGCTCGGAGAGCGCACGCAGAGCTCTTCGTATGCAATAATTTCTCATCTCAAATATGCAGCGTTGCGTACGTGAGAGCACGAAAATTTTTCTCCCATTCAAAACTCATTCCGTTATTTGTTGACCTAATTTTTTTTTTAAACCCTAAACCCTAAACTAGAAGTATCTGAAGAACTCAAATTTGAAAGATTTTAGTGATTATTTCCAGAAATTGAAGATCTGAGAGTTCGTCGTCATCAGAATAAGAAAAAAATGCTAGAACCGATTTCAGATCGAGTTAAAGATAAATATATGATTGATTTCTTTGAGAAGGAAAAGAGAGTAAGAGCACACTTCTCTCAAATCTGGACAATCTGCACAATCTTCTCTGTTGTATTTACAGTAATCAAAATGCTCCAACAAAAAAATCACAAGAACAAAGAAATATCTATGTCGTTCTTCCCTGTTGCTATGTCGATTCCTCAATCACTGATCTTCTGATCGAAAGGCCGTCGAGCACATCGCTGCCGCTCCCACCGGTTTCCATCTGAAGCTCCTTGAACATGGCCATCACCTGAATCATTGTAGGTCGCCGGTGCGGCCGGTCTTCCAGGCACTGAAATGCTATCTTCAAATACTTCTGGAGCTCATCGACGTCCCCTGGCTTGTTAGCCTGAACCAACTCCGGATCAAAAATGTCCCCACTCTTGTTCTCCTTCACCAGCTGCTTGGCCCAACCCACAAGATTGGTGTCCCCAAAATCCATGGTATCGATGGGTTTCTTCCCTGAAAGGAGCTCCAGCAGAACCACGCCGTAACTGTAGACGTCACCCTTTGTCGTGCAGCGGAAGCTCTGGTAATACTCCGGCGGAACATAGCCGGGTGTTCCGGCGAGCGTGCTCACGCTGAGATGCGTGTCGAGTGCGTTCATTAAACGGGCCATGCCGAAATCGGAGACGCGGGCTTCCAGATTCTCGTCGAGGAGAACGTTGCTGGACTTCATGTCGCGGTGGATTATGTGGGGGATGCAGCTGTGGTGGAGGAATGCGAGCCCGCGGGCTGATCCGATGGCAATCTTCTTTCTCGCGGACCAGTCAAGTCTCGGCGCGCCTGGAGCTCGCTTCTTGCTGTCGTGGAGAGCGATATCGAGGCTCCCGAAGCGCATGTATTCGTAGACCAGGAGGCGTTCATCGCCGACCTTACAGTAGCCGAGGAGGGGGACGAGGTTCCTGTGCTTGATCTTCCCGATGGTCTCCATTTCAGCGGTGAACTCACGATCGCCCTGGCCGGTGACGTGAATGAGCTTCTTGACAGCAACGACCGCGCCGTCTTTGAGACGCGCTAGGTAGACTTCGCCGAAGCCACCGGAGCCGATGAGGCTCTCTGCGCTGAAGTTGCTGGTGGCTTCGACTAAATGGGCGAATGTGAGCTTCCGCAAGTGTTTCTCGAACGCGGCCACGTTGATGCTGAGGTGCGCCAGCTCGCTGGCGGAGAGCTTCGAGCTACCGCTGCCGGAGGTTTGGACGCTCTCGATGTAGCCTCCGCCGCCGTTGCCGATGCCGATGCCGATGCTGACGCCGAGCTCCTCTGCTTTCTTTCCACGCTTCTTGATTTTGAAAAGGGCGAGTGCGAGGGAGAGAAGGATGAGGACGGAGAGCGCAACGCCGATGAGAAGGCTGAAGCCGCTGCCACTGAGCGGTCGCCGATGGCGGCCATCGTTAGAAATCCGTGGAGTGGCAGGAGATTTTGGGCATGGCGGAAGAGGGATGCCGCAAAGTCCAGGATTATTTGCGTAGCGGGAGGCAGAGAAAGTGATGAGCTGGCCCGTAGTAGGGATGGGGCCACTGAGGTTGTTGTTGGAAACATCGAGGTCGTTGAGAAAGCTGTTGTCCCCGAGAGATCCAGGTATCGGGCCGGTGAGATTATTGTGAGAGAGATCGAGCACGCCGATAAACTTAATGCCGCCGAAACTGTCGGGGATATGTCCCGTGAGCAAATTGTGGCCAAGATTGAGAACTACGAGGTATTCCATGGCACCGAAGGCGCTTGGGATTTCGCCTGTGAGATGATTGTAGGAGAGGTCCAGGTAAATCATGCTTCCGTTGTTCTGGTAGGAGTAGAAGGTGGTTCCTCGGTAGATTCGAGTGGAGGAGCAGGAGTTTACGATCGGGAGGCTTGCAAGCCTCTCCGGTCGGATTCCTTGGAACTCGAAGAGGGCTCCGGCGCCGGGGCAGATGTTTCCAGCCTCGTTGCGAAGGAAGGCGAATTGCTTCCCGGAGACGATGCCGGCGGTGATGAGCTCCGCTTGCGAAGCCAGCGAAGACTGTATTGGCCCGGTGAATTTGTTGCTGTTCAAGTCTAGCCAGATGAGATTCTTGCAGTTGCCGAGCTCCGCCGGAATGTTGCCCGAGAGGGAATTGTTTCCGAGCTGGAGGATTGCGAGATTCTGGAGATTTCCTATTTCGGAGGGGATCTCGCCGACGAGTTGGTTGCCGGCGAGAGATACCCAGATGAGTTTGGAGCATTTGGTAAAGGACTCGGGGATGGATCCCGTCAGGGCGTTGAGGTTGAGGACGAGCATCTCGAGGTTAGGGTTTTTAGAGCAGAGATCGCCGGGGATCTCGCCGGAGAGCTTGTTAGCCCACATGACGATGTTCACTAGTTTCGGCAGGGACCATACCTGCAATGGGATCTCGCCGACGAGTTCGTTGAAGCTGAGATGGATGCTCTGGAGGTTAGTGCAGTTGCCTAGCTCGGCCGGGACCCTGCCGGAGATGTAGTTGCCAGAGAGATGGAGCCTTTGAAGAGAAGGTAGATATTGGCAGAACTCAGCCGACATTTCGCCGGTGAACTCATTGGAGCTGAGATCGATTTCTTCCAAGAGCTTGCAGCCGGCGAGCGCTGATACCGGCAGCTCGCCACTGATGTTATTGAAGGAAAGGTAGAGTTGCCTCAGCGAAACCAGCTTTGCAACAACCTGTTCGACGAAATTCCCCGACAGACTGTTGCTGCTCAGATCGAGAATTTGAAGATTGGAGCACGATGAAAACCCCGAAGGCAGGCCGCCGGTTAAGTGATTACTGGAAAGGTTGAGCTCGACGAGGTTATCGCACGCCCCAGCTAGTCCGGCCGGGATCTCGCCGGAAAAATTGTTATTTCCCAAATCCAAATACTTCAAATTGGTAAAATTTTGCCAAATGGATGGAATTTGATCAGTGAAATTATTGCCAGAGAAAGAGAGCTGCTCCAGCTGCTGGCAGCTGCGTAGGCTCGTCGGCAGCCCGCTGCCATGGAGATGGTTATATGAAAGATCCAGGATTGTAATCCTTCCGCAGCCACCGAAGTCAAAGGCGGAGAATTCACCGCTGAGGTTGTTGTGAGAGAGGTTAAGCTGCTTCAACGAAGCCGGCGGCGATGAAAAGAAATTCGCCGGAATCTCTCCATTGAGCGAATTAACGGAGAGGTCGAGAACCACAAGTCCGGCGCACAAAGGCGACAAAGTCCTCAGCCTTCCAGCGAGCTTATTATCCGATAGGTTGAGATGCGTGAGGCCTTGGCAGCTGGAGAGAGAGAAGTTGAGCAATCCATCGTCAGAAATCTTGTTCTTCGAAACGTCAAGCACCCGGATGGAGGAACCGAAGGGGAAAACTCCGGCGGGAATCGAATTGGACGACAGATTGAGCGACGAGAGACGGGTACAGGATGTGAGGAACGGCGAGGAGATCTTTTCTGTGAAGTTATTTGACGAAAGGTCGACGTTGACGAAGCTGCAGGATGGAGGAGGTGTTCCGCTGTTGTAATTTAGATTTCCATAAAAGAAGTTGCCATGGAAGTTGATGTCTCGCAGCGCCGGCAACGCCATTAACGTGTCGATTTGAAGCCGGCCGTGGAGTCCCATGCTGTTGAGGTTAAGCCCTTGCACCAAGCCATTAGATTGCGAGCACTGGACTCCGCTCCATGAACATGGATCGTTGCTTTCAGCAACCCAGTTCTGCAGAAACCCCTTGGGATCAAGGTCGACGGAGGATTGCTTGAACTGAATTAGAATAGAGGATTCATCGGCGGCGGCACCGGCGGCGGTGATTGATGAATGAGAAGAGGAAAGCAGCAGTAATGAAAGCCGGGAAAAA